GTAGTCTGCTTCCATAAGGATTTACAACCTTAGAAACCCTAAGAGGCTTACCTACTCTATCCAATAGGACAGCTAAGAGTCGGAATACATTCAATAACAATGGTATAATGCTTTCACTCAAAGATTTCATTTTAAACAAGTATTTGTTCCCATTGAATGGCTTATCATATGCAAAAATACTTACAAAAACTCTTTCAAAGAAATAGCAAATCAAATGCTCCAAGTTACACAAGAATATTAGGATTCTTATGGGAGGGCAGTGAGAGGAAACAAGATGCATTTTTAAATCCAACTCTACATCCATGAAGTTTCTTAAGAAATTTCACTGAACTATAGCCCTCACTTTGGATACCATTAAATGCATCAATGAAATGCATCAATATCAGTACTTGGGAAAATATGTGTGGTGCCTAGCAGGTCTTAGTAATTGTTTTATTGATTTTTTAACTAATAAAAAACTAGAGTTCAAAACACTGTTCTTATGTATACAAATTCTAGAATTACATATAGAAAGAGAGAAAAGAAAGTATTTTTTTATTTTGCTTATTAAAATCAATTTACTCAGAAATGTTCCCTAATGGAGGTCTTCTAATTAATTTTATGTAGCTAGAAATGAACAAATTAGTAAGTTAATCTTTCAATACTTTTAAATTAATTTTCACTTTATGCTAAAATTGAGACCTCCAGAAATCCAGAAAGCTGAAATATAAGAACTCTACTCCTGTCTTCCTCTTTACCTTCCCACTTTGATTTTAGCAGAAGGGAAAACAGACAGCTGATACCTATGGTGTCAACATTTCTGCTTCAATAGCCTTTGAGGTCACTGCCATGCAGTGCTCAAGGGACCAGAAAAATCTGTTTATACTAACTGCCCATAAAAATGTGAGCTAAAACAATCCTGCTATGAAAATAGGGGCCACATATAATGTGGTGGTGGTGTGCCATGGAGTCACAATTCCGACTTAGTGTTTCCGAGGCTTTAAAGTTTCATGGGAGCAAAATGCCTCATCTTTCTCTTGTGACAATTTAGTGTTCTAGCAGAAACAGAAATATATATGGTCTTTCAGAGGTAGACTAAAATGAATATAAAGAATATGTTGTTAAGTGCCATCAATTCAGTTCCACCTCATAGGGACCCTGTTTCTGAGGAACAGCTGGTGAGTTTGAACACCTGAGCTTGAAGTTAGCAGTCCAGTGCTTATTCTGCAGTGCCACACCAGTACTCCATAAATAATAATTCATTATATTCAGATCATGTGGACTTTAAAAAAAAAGCTGGTAAAATATGTAGTCTTCAATCGCTACCTTAAAAAGCATGAGTACAATCCCGATTTCCCTTTCACGGAACACTGAATTTTTACTTTAGAAATTACTAATGCTAACCTGTGCAATTTAAGTTGTAATTCTAGTCCCACTGCTATTTAATCAAACACTATAAAGTTCCCCTGAAGTCAGGAATCAGCAAACTCAATCATTGACCAAATGCAACCACAGCCTAGTTCACCACCCATAAGCTAGTAACAATTTTTACATTTTTGATGAGTTGCTAAAAAAAAAAAAAAATCATGGAGAATATGCAACAGATGTACATGTGTTTATAAAGCCTAAATCTAAAATATTTACTATCTGGCCCTTTACAGAAAAAGTTTGCCAGCCCCTCGCTCATATGTACAATAACGCCTAAATCAATGTTCTTTCTCTTACTATTAACCCAAATATTCGAGGGGCTTCAATAAGTTCGTGGGAAAAAAATTCCATTATCTTTTAATCCCATTTTTTCCATGAACTTTTTTGAAGCCCCTTCATAATTCTTTTGGTGTTTATGTTTTATCTTAACTATAAATGCCAAAATTAGGGCAGGAAACAAGTAGCTACTTAATAAATACAAGAATATTCCTCATTTTGTTTAAATAACAAAATTCTTTAAAGCCTACTAGCAGATAACCAGCAAACTAAATACAGAAATCATCAAGGTTTCAAATTTTAATTATAAAAAATGGAGATGCAAAATTTATAATCTCTGCTATTGCAATTTTATTTTTTAAAATTATTTGGAATAGCTCTTTAAAGTCTTCCAAAAGCATGAAAATATCAAAATAATTTTAAAAATTATGAAGGTAAATTCATTCCTAAGCAAATCAAGTCTATTTAATTGAAAAATTAATAGATCAGAAGTTTAAATGCTGAAGCAACACAAATTACATAAAGGTATCAACACAACCAGAGATAATAAGAAAGATTGAGTGTTAGAAGGATGAGAATGATGCGGTTGTATAATTAACCCTTTATATTTCCTTACATTTTAATGCAACATTCCACCTATATGACTGCAAAGCAAATTTCTTTAAATTAATCCACTTACATATTGTACATCCCACATATATTTTCAAAACAAATAAGCAAGTATATAAAACCTAAAAATCTAATTTAAAAAAGATACTTTACTGATTAATTATGCATGCTGTGGTATATTAAAGCAGTAGTGTCAAATACCAAGAATCAATTGGTACTTATGAGGAAGTAACCATACAACAAGAAAATAAGGCACAGCTAGGTGTGGCGCTGTGGGTTAATGTGGCAGACTGCAAAGCTGTTTGAACTGCAAGGTTGGCGGTTCAAGCTCACCAGTCACTCCTCAGAAACCCTATATAGGGTTGCTAAGGGTTGGACAACAACAAATATATATACAAGGAGCTCTGGTAAGCACAGTGGTTACAAATCAGGCTGTGAACCTTAAGGTCAGCAGTTTGAAACTACCAGCCGCTCCATGGGAGAAAAGTGAGGCTTTCTGCTCCTGTAAAGATTTACAGCCTCGGAAATGCTGTATAAGTTTGCTATGGGTCAGAACCGAAAGATTTACAGCCTCAGAAACCCTGTACAGGGTCGCTATGAGTCGGCATCAACTCCACGGCACATAACCAACCAACCATATATATACAGGGTCGCGATGGGTCAGAATCAACTCAACAGCACTTAACGACAACAACAAATGTTAGACTTTTATCAAATGAGAAGTAGTGGGCTACACTGTGCAAGAGGATTCTGTAGGATAGGCACTTGTCTGCTAACCACAACGTTGGCAGTTCAAACCCACCAGTTGCTCCTTGGACTGACTCAAAGGCACTAAACAACAGTGAGTCCTGGTGGCGCAATCGTTAAAGTGTTCAGCTGCTTAACTGAAAGCTTGGCAGTTTGATCACACTCAGCAGCTCCACAGGAGTAAGACGGCGATTCACTGCCCTTAAGACTACAGCCTAGAAAACCCAAGGGGGCAGCTCTGTTCTGTCACATGGGGTTGCTATGGGGTGAAAATCAACTCCACCACACTACTCAAGGGACAACCTATGCTCCTAAATCTGCATCACCTGAGACCTTGTACGAAATACAGCATCTCAGATCCCAACCCCAAAACCTACTAAATCAGACTCATTACAACAAAAAATACTTTCCGTTGTGAAATGTAAACTAATATGTTCATTTTAAAAATCTTCCTCAAAAAAAAAATCAGATCACTGGTTAGAGAGGACCAGTAAAAAGGAAGACATAAACCAAACGTCTTCCCAGTCTCTGGTACTTGGGAATCGGTATGAATGAAATCTTAATTCTTCAAAAGTAATTATATATATTTGTGTGTGTGTCTGTGTGTCACACATTGTTTTGTGTCATGGAGTTGGTTCTGGCTCGTAGCAACCCTGTATAAGATTTCCAAGAAGCAGCTGGTGGGTTTGAACTGTAAACACTGTGCTAGTCCAGTGCTTATTCTACAGTGCCACTCCAGGACTCCAAATACATATATATGAGGCAGTTCTGACTCATAGCAATTCTGTGTAGCTTTTTTTAAGTGCTAGTAAAATTATCATGAATATTTATACTATTAAAAAACAATTGTCCAACTATAGAAATTCAGTTTTTTAATTCCAAAACACTTAAAATAGCATTTTTTGTTTTTCATTGTGTACTAAATTTGTACAACTAGGAGGAGGTACATATATGAATGTCCACATGCAATATTTACTACCTAAATGATTTTTTTTACTGCCTCATAAAATTCAATGAAAGTTCTAGAATACTTGCTTTAAGTGTTTTCACTATGTAATCAGTTGTTCATTGATTTTTGTAAATTATATTACAGAAGATAAATTCCATAAAATTAGTTTTCTGGGCTCACAGTTTACATGTAATCAGAAAAAGCCCAAAACAAATGTTCACTTTCCATGGAACATAAACTGATGAATCCCTTAATATATGAAAACGCTATTCCATAAAAAAATTTTTATATTCTAGGATTTTTTTTTCTATATATATTAAACAAAAAGGTTAAAATGACATCAAGTGAAATTATTTTTATCTAGGGAAATTTTTACTTTTAAAATGAAAATAGTTTTTGACACAAAATTCAGGGTCCACTTGGCATTAAGTTTTTATAGAAAAATTCAGTAAATGAGTACCTAGGAATTTCTAAATATGCTCTTGCTTTAAATATAAACCCCTTCCCAAAAAAACACATTATTAAAAATTCTGCCAAAGTAAAATTCTTCATAGACAACATAACTTAGAAACATGACATAATACCCTTAAAAACACTTCTGAAATAGGAACCCAAGATTTGTTGCCCAGTTCTTTGTCATTATTAGATTTAAGAGTGTAAAACCCAACATCTCTTGAATTCTAAATATCAAATGTAAATCCAAAATTTTTAAATCCAAATCCAAAAGCAGTATCATGGGCTTTGGATTAAGAATTACTACCTTTGCATATCCTTAAAAGAATATCAAATAAACATTATTTCCTTTTTTCCTCCCATAATGGAGTGAAAAAAACTGATAAATCACATTAGTACAATTATGCTATTAGGTATGCACATTTAATAATGCTTTTGAGCTCCTGATTCTATGCTATTAAAATATAAACTAGTACATTTTGATTAATGATTGAAATCAATTGTTATTAAAAAGAAAAAAAAAAAAAAAAAGATTTGTATTTGCTTCAGTTTTACTTACCTGTCTTGTCTTTGCTGATGTTTCAATAAAAGGAATTCCATAACTTCGTGCTAAGTCCTGAGCCTGTTTTGTGTCTACTGTTCTAGAAGGCAAATCACACTTATTTCCTACTAGGACCATAGGTACATCTTCAGAGTCTTTAACTCTTTTAATTTGTTCTCTGTAGAAGAAATAATGTTACAGCAGAGACATATTAGTAACTGAAAAATATTCCCAAACTTTTGTTTCATACAATTTGGCTGAAAATTTTATATAATACAAACATTTCTTACCTCTCTAATAAAACTACAATAAGAGAAGTTCATATGCAGGTAGGCCACAATGATAAAAAGTTCTATGCCTTATTTTAAAAATACAATCTTAGAAATAAATTCTCATTTTTTGACTAACTATATAGGTATAGTTTCAAATTATTTTTAAATAAAAATATGAATTGTAATAACATAATTTTCATACTTTTATCAAAGTCATATTAATATATTTATTTCTGTGAGGATAGCATTGAGCTAAATGCATTGTTTATTCTGCTAAAAGTCCTTTTTGTGTTGCTCTTTAACAATGTGTGTAAAATCTTAATTTGCGGGAAATTATATTCCTTCATAAATTTAGATGAATCTCAATCTCAAAGATTCTAATATAGGAGAAGGAATAGGAGTCAGAATTGGTTCAAATCTCTAGTTCCTTTACTTGTAAGCATATAGGTACAGTATGGGCCTCCACAGTCTTGATGTAATATTGTAGCATAAGCACTGGACTGCTAACCACAAGGTTGGCAGTTCAAACCCACCAGCTGCTCTTCGAAACCCTATACTGGTTTCCTATGAGTCAGAAGCGACATGACCCTATACTGGTTCGCTATGAGTCAGAACAGACATGACGGCACTTAACAACAACAACATACTAATCTATACAAATACTACTACCCACCCCAATTTATTTTTCTGTATTAAAACAGAATGAATATTAACAATAAAAGTAATAAATGTTAGTATGATATAATTTTAAATCTCTTAATGAGGGTAACTCAGTGACATATGACATAGCCAGTGAGTGGATATTAAGCAAATGTAGTCACATAAAACCTCTGTCCTCAAAGGAACAGAATATGAAATACATTTACAACTATTTTAAAGTTTTATGTAGACTTGCCATATTCCTAAATATTTGCACTAATTTAGCAATCTTTTGTGGTACTGTGGGTTAACGCACTGGACTGCAAAGTCATTGAATTGCAAGGTCAGAGGGTCAGGTTCATCAGCCGCTCCTTGGAAACTCTTATACAATGGGTCGCTATGGGTCTTAACCCTATACAGACTTCATGGCACATAAGGTTCAATTCCAATAAATGTTACCCAAAATATACTTGATTACTTTTAAGGCTATTTGAGTAGTACCACTTTATGTTTTTGTTTATGGTATTCACTTTTATGATGGATATTAAAAAGTTCAAGTCTCTTTCTCTAGCACAAAGTGGACAAAGCACAGACGGTTTTGTAGTCAAACAGGCCTAGATTCACTCCCAGCCCTACCACTATCTATGCAATCTGTGACAAATTACTCAACAGCTCTAATCCTCAAAAACTTTAATTTAAAAATGGGGATACCACCTATCTCACAAAAATTATTCTAAAACTGAAATTAGGTGATACAAGCACAGTGCTTAGCCAAGACTCAGTAAGTGGAAGCTAGTTACTCCCTGATGCCAATTTATTACATTTACTCCATGACCTGATACAGCATTAATATACTTTATAATCCCAATTCTGCAAAGGTGATGCTACTCCTCTTGTAGGCTGAAAAAGCTAACACACTATTTTAAGAACTGAATGAATGAGCAAGCTACACAGCGTAAGTTTTTACTTCTATTTTTCTCTTTGGTTTAATCTTAATTAATAATACAAACTCAATGAATGATATTAAATTTTAATACTGCATTCCATCTCAGACATCACATATTGTTCTTTAACAATGCATATCATAAAATATTGACCAGTAGAGTGAAGAGCTAAATACTTGCACTAACAATTAAGCCTCTGAAACTAGAAAAGCTTTCTAATTCTTTTCTCCTCAAGCTCAAGTTCTAACTTCATACTGCATTTTATCCTAGGAATCAATCATTAAATCATAGGAAACGGCCACTTTTACAAGGAAAAAACTTCTTACTATTGCCAGTTCCAATGGTTCATCCTAAAATTAGTAGAGCTCTTTAAGACTTTATCATATTAATCTTGTTACTTATCACACTCCAAGCTTCATTTTAATTTGCTACCTTTTCTTTACCGTATCTTTCTCATTATTTTTGGTTATCATTTTAAAATATGTATTTTTTAAAAGTCTTAAATCCTTTTCTCAAAGAAAATATAGAAGAGTTCCTAATCTTTAGCTTTACATACAGATCTGGTGGCAAGATTGCTAAGTGGTTACGAACATAAACTATGTAGTTAGACAGTCTGGGTTTGAGTCCAGGCTCTGCCTGTTACTGTGTGACCTTAGGCAAATTACTGAAGTATCCTTTGCCTCATGTCTTCATCTGGAAAAGGAAAACAACAGCTCCATCCTTGAGTGGTCATTTGGAGCATTACATACATTAATGTATGTAAAGAATTCAAAATCTTTCCTGGAATCAAGAGTTCAGTAAGTAAATTACTATTTAAGTAATTCATGGACAATTCTTAGAATTCTACATTATAGTTTAGAACTTGTCAAGCTTGAAAACAATTCTTAACTCTACCATTTTAACAGCACAGTCTCTAAAATTCTCTAATGAGTCAGAGTCCTTACAATATTGCATGTTCTACTGTATTCCACCACACCTCTCTCCCCCATCCCAAAATAAATAAATTGCTGTAATACAGAGAACACTGTTGGAACATGTTCTTCATCAAGAGTTCACACCTGAATTTCCTAGGACTTTTCTCAAAGTAACCATTACGAAGTCCTAGTCCCAGAAAAATGAAATTAGAGTTTACAAAAAGAATTTCAATATGAATATCTGAAAAAGACTCTTGATAAAGAACTACTCTCTTAAAGAATAAACTAGACTTTTTTGTTCTAAAGCAATTCTGACATCAGTGAAATATCCTTCCTATTATAGTTACATGGCTTTTTGTACCATCTATTACATAGCATTAACTTCTAATGACCTATTAGACAATTATTGGGGAACTGCAATATTCCAAAACTACCAAAGTGAATTAATGAGAATCTGTTACTTTCTCAAAAGTCACAAAGCAACTTTCAACTTGAAAATTCTTCAAGTTTGGATCACATTATAATTGGCTCACTTGATATACACCCACCTATAATGGTGAATATCTTCAAAGGATTTAGTATTATTTATGGCAAATACACAAAGAAAGCCCTCCCCAGTCCTCATGTACTGGTCCCTCATTGCACTGTATTCTTCTTGACCTGCTGTGTCGAGAATATCCAAGAGACAGGTTTCTCCATCAATTACTACTTGTTTCCTGTAGGAATCCTAAGAAGGGAGAAACACAGTCGGGATTATTACAGTGTACCGTTTACTTTTAGAAAGGTGTTATGTAGATTCAACAATGCAAGTGCACGTATTAATAACCAAAAGAGAAGACTCAAATTCACTACAAAAGAAAATAATGATCACAAAAATGACATCCTGCTACCAACTCTCATTCAAGTTCATTTAGATGACAAGAAAAAAAAAAAAATCAACTTACAAATAGCATATTTTTATAGAAGTAATGTGGGCACTATATGCCTTTTGCCAACTACACAACCCCTTCACACATTATTTTTCTAAGCACTTATGTGTCTGGGTGCAGTACATGTGTATTATTGGGAAAAA